CGAGTGTTTCCTCAGAAAATACTGTACTGTACTTGTATGTATTGTTTACTTGAGAATATAACAGAGAATAAACTGCCCAAATACCCTTAAACAAAGGAAAAGTACGTCCTTTATGAAGGCATAGAGCCTTTACTACATGAAAATGAAAATTAATGAATACACAGTGTACAGTAATTTACCTGATAAGACAGACCTCAGAAAAATACTTTGTGAGGCATAAAGCTGTCTATTATGAAAATTAATTATCTAAGGATATTTTTGCCCTGCCAGGGTGTGGCCGAGTTATCCGGAGTGCCGGGTTATCAAGTGCCGAGTTTTCGAGGCTCTACTGTACTATATTTCATGACATGTCTTATATTATTATTAAAATAAAAAAAAGAAATATCTTTAACTGATTTACATGAAATATAAATTTACAGTAGAATCATACGCTCTGGCATTCGATTCAAAAAGAACATTTTTACCATTTTATAATTTCTGAAAAAAAAAATGACTCAATTCTTATTAAATGCTGTGATACTCGTATTCAGAACATTATAAGTGTTCAATAATGTTATTCAAAAGAGCAAGATGTAAAATAATTCAGACAATTTTACGATAATGTAGTTTTTTTAAATAATATATTCTATGAAATCACTACCATTTCATATGTGGAAAGTAATAAGCGCATATTATGGTAAAGACATTAACAGTTTGGTTATTGTAATCTTACACGAAGCGTATCAAAGTGTTATGTAAGTGAAATCAAGAGAAGGATTGAAGTTTGGAAGTTTTAGTTGATTCTATATTCTGCACATTGTCCTAGACATTAATTGTCAAAAATTATTTCAAACGTATAATGTATAAATGTACTGTACGTTATGTAGAGAAGCCAAACGGTAGACACTGTCCAACATTCTTATTAAATATTTTTATTGTTTTGTAAACAGAACAAGAGTAACAATAGAAACAGAATTAAAATGACAGTAGTGAATTTAATTATAAGTTCAAAAAGTAATGTATCGAGAATGCGTCTGATATACCGCAGGGGTGTCCAACTTTTGAATACATGAAATTTACTTTTTATCTTAAAAATGTGTCGCGATCGACTTGTTGTTAATTAACTCCTGAAATCGCACGTTTCCTTCTGCCTGCTAACATTACGTTTTAGTTTCCTATTTAATTGTGTATAGAATTTTTTTATTGCAAACATAGACATAGATTTAGTGGAAAGATCAAAAGGTGGATCAGCAAGAATTTATATTTTCGAAGGAGAGATTGTCTGTTACTTCTGATTCTTTTCCTCTTACGATGCATTCTGTGAATCCGATTACTCGCCAATTTCGATCTAAAAAAGTACATTTTCTTCCAATCTATAGTCGCTCGAATATTTGACTAATTTGTTAAAATACGTGTAATTCATACATCTATATATATAGTAGAGCGTCAATTATCCGAATCAATTGGCGACTGGGGTTGTTCGGAAGATCGGTGTTTCGGATAACCGATTGTGTACGAAAAAATATATTAATTTATCCCATCTTGACATTTTTCTCCGTTGCGTGTCGCATTGTGTTAAATTTTCATTNCTTACCGTAAAGAACTGTCCATCCCCCATGTTTAACGGAATAATATACAGCCTATGTCCATCCTGAAGTTCCATTCTAAATATTGATGAAAAAATTTTTGAAATCGGATGAGTAGTTTTGGAGATTACCCGCTACATCCAAACTAACATACAAACATTACCTCTTTATTATATTAGTATAGATGTATGTAAAAGTTTCTTTGCAGCAGGTAATCTCCGAAACTACTCATCCGATTTCGAAAATTTTTTCACCAATATTTAGAATGGAACCTCAGGGTGGACATAGGCTGTATATTATTCCGTTAAACATTCATATAAATTAAAAGATATAATCTAAGTTGAGGCTTTTACGTCCAACAGATGGCGCTACGAGTAGGACTCCCTAAGTTTGCTTTTCTGCGAGGCATTACGCTTTTCTGTGAAAATGAACTAAAGCGGATCATCTTCTCTCTATTTATATAAATAAAAATGAAATGTTCGTTTGTTCCTACCGACTCCTTTGAAATTTTGATACAACGCTGCATTCGAATACCCACGTGTTTTTATATAATATACGTGTCCAAATTCCTCCCACTGAAGGGAGATGGTTAGGATTAAGGCTTATGGTAAAAAACTCTGTTTCTATGTATACTATTTTAGATGCGGTTTTTTGCGTTTTAACAGGGTACGTCAACAGAATGTACACTAAGAAGGAATTTTTCGATATTCCCCCACGGGGAGAGGGCTTACCGTGAAGAACTTGGCTTCTATTATATTATTTTAGATGCGGGTTTTTGCTTTTTTGATTGCTTTTTAATAAAGTACGTCAAGAGAATGTACACTAAGAAGAAATTTTTCGAAAAATTTCCCCTCCACGGGGGAAGTGTATACATTTATAATAGATACATTTTGAGCCACAACAACGCGTGGCGGGGTCTGCTAGTACAATAATAAAAAGGGAATGACAGAAAGAAAAAGCTTTAGTAAGTGACTGAGTGACGGAGAAAGAGAGTGAAGAACAGAGAAGCAAGAAATAAAGATTATAAAAAAATAAAATCATCTCAACATCCAGAAAAAAAGCCAGCACAAACGTAGAGAACCGCACTAGAGGAGAAGGTCTTTAAAAAAATATATGAATTTTATGTTAATATATATATATATATAATAGATTTATAAAGACATACTTGAAATGAAACAATCATTGTTTTACGTGAAATATTTATTCACACGACTACATAATAAAAAACACACTTGTTTTTGTAACAAAAATAAAAACTCTTTTCTTTAAAAATAATGACGTAATCTAATCATAACCTTACTATTTTGGCTTCATATTATGAAATAATATGAAGCCAAATAAGTTTTATTTGTTGAACGATAAATCTAAGTATAAAAAAATAAGAAGTCTCAATAGTAGAAGAAACATTTAAGTTAGAAAGTTCGTCCATCTTCTTCACATTAAACGACACCCAAAGATTGTTTTTTTAATGTATTTTCGAATCGATTAAATATGTTTTCAACCAATTTTCGCTGAAAAATATACCGCATGTAAAAATTTTATACTTTCGATGTTCTGGGACACAACTGACAAGGGTCATCACAAACTCAGTTTTGGTTGAGATTGTTATCATTGTTTGCAGTCCAATTGAATAGGGACAAAAACATCTAAATTCACTTTGATAAGTATAAATTAAATTCGTTGTGAATGTAATAAGCCTTACTCGTTGGTTCTAGTTAAGTACCTTATTCGAAAATTATTAATATAAGCAAGAATCTTTTTAATGCACACGTTCTAAAAGTGTTTATTAATTAAATAATCATGTTAGTATATTTGAAAGATTTTTATGCTGTTTTTCTTTGGGTTGTTCATTCACTTTGCTTCGACTTGTCACAACAATTGAGTTTATGTTTAATCACCTGACTGAAATTTTAAATTTCGGACACGCCACCAATAATCCAATCAATTGACTAATTTTAAATTCTTATTAGTTTTACCTAATTATAATAATGAATTTAAGTTAATTCGTATCAATTAGTATAAGTTCTTTAAGTAATGAAAGTAACTAGACATTTAATTTTCTGAAATTCGCTTCGAGCATAAATGTTTGCATACTTTATATAAATCAGGAAATTCATTAAAGTAAAACATCCCGAGTAAATTCGTTAATCTCACGCGAGTTTCTTACACAATGATTAAAAATAATAATAAGTTGTGATATGATATTTTGTATAAGACGTTTCAAAATTTGTACAGTTAATGTTCTGCTGAGTGAAGAATACTCATAATAACGACATAAAAAGCATGGGTTTTAAGATGATAAGTTACATTTTTATAACGTTGCTCTTCTCATAAATTGATTGCATTCAAATGTCAAGTTTTCTCAATCGGATCACGTTGAATAATATATAAAAATTCAGGTATATTTTCAATTGATCTAGCTATAAAGTATATATTAAGTATAAATTTCTGCACGTTAATAAATTCTCAAAATAACAAACATTCCTAAAACTTCTTAAATAATCTAAAAATATGTCGATAAATAAAATATGGAAATTAATAAATAAACCAGAATTTTATTGATTACAAACGGCTTCTAATCAATGTCTTTTCCTTTTCAGTCTGTAACGTGATTCACTTTTACATCTGTTATTGTCATTCGAGTGATTTTCTTTACAATTCATTGTATACACCAATCAGAATCCATTTATACCGTGTACACATACACTTTAAGAGAATTCGAGTAAAGTGCAACCATTATTGTAAAATTTGAAAATTTTCGTCAAACATTTAATCGGGAAAAAACGTATATTGCTGAATCTGTAGTATATTGTAGTATAACAAAAGTAAACAGTTTAAAAACAGTTTGGTGAATTTCGAGAGTGTACAGCGAAGTAAACCTCGCACTTCTGTGGTGAGAAATGCAGTCATCATACAGCCATTGTATAGCAAGAAAACTTCTACCGGTGATTTCTGTTATGGAAGTCTTCGGTTTGGATGTGTTGGAGACATGCAAATGTAGAAAGAAGAAATCAAAATTAATTCAGAATTTCTTCGTAATTTACATAAGTTTCGTCGAGTTATTTTTATGGACGATGACATTATTGTTTACTACTATGATAACAATACCCGAAGCGTATTGCCATCACGTATTTCTGGTATATGAAAATAACAAATTGTACATGGAGTTTATTGCATGGATATGTTCCTTGTACACAGCGGTACAATTCGGCATTTTGAAAAGGAGAAAGCTTAATATTCATTATTTAATGAGAGATTTTAAGAAAGAAGAAGAATTCATCGAGAAATGTGAACATTACTTTCATTATTATTTCGTTTTTTATGTTTTCAATCTTCTTTGTTGGTTCACAATGGTAGTGTTTCTCGGTTATTATGGTTTCAGATCGGACCATTACCATTCTACGACATCTTATTTGTGCATTTGCGCATTGGAACTTTGGTTATTTTATGTTGTGTCTCACGTAATGTGTTTACTTCTGTTTTTCGTAGTTATTTTTTCACTGATAAGAAAAAAGTTAATGAACATTTCTACTGAATTGCAACTTGCAATTAGCGCAACAAGGTCTTTCATTGATGAACTGACAGAAAAACTTTGGAGAATTTGGCAAATTTTGGAAGAGATGAACGAAAAATGGAAGACTTGGTTTCCTCTACTTTACATTTTTTTTGTTTACGAAACTTGTTTTTATATATACATTGTTCTTTTCGTAGAGATACATACTATTTTTCGTATAGGGATCGGAATAATTTCAATATTTTTATTGACTGGAACGTTTATCGTTTCATGGTCATTATCAATTTTTTCATCACTCGTGAGTATTGTTTTAATGAATGATAACTACAAAATGAGAATTATTTAATTAATGAAAGACCTGTCTATTGTCTAATAAATATATTAATATATTTCAGATCTACGACAATTATATCAGCATCGGAAAATATTCCTCATCATTTACGCCTGAATATAGATTTAAAGTATGTACTTTCTTACAATTTACGACAATATTAATAAAATTAAATTAATAATTGAATCATTTCAGATGATTTGTTTCATGAAGAGATTTGGAGGAAGACCTTTTGGAATATCGATGTGGGGATTCTTCTACATTAAGAGAACTTTTTTAATAAGGGTAAATACGTAGGCGTATTATATTATTCGTTCATATACTATATTACATAATACGATAATATGCAACAGTGTAAAACATAAAATCATTTTTAATAGTCTAGTTTAATATTTTTTATTATTCAACATAATATGTAAAGAAATAAAATAGTAACTGAAAAATAACCCAAATAGAACTTTCTCTATATTTATAACACTTTAAATTGTTTTCAGATGACCAGTGGATTGTATTCTGTTTTTTCTTCTCTCATTCAATTAACCGGAGTTCTTGATAAGAAAAGATGTTCTATGAAAAGCGTTAAAAATTTCACATTGAAGAATGAAACAAGTTTTTGAATATTGATTTAGGAATATTTATTGATAATCTTTTAATGCACATTCGTTATTATTCGCGAAATGCAAAAACACTGCATTTATACTATTACTACTGCAGAATAATAACACATAGATGTATTCTAAAAAATAGCATAAAATAGTAATTATTGGCAATGTTTACTTGTTTACTTGTAGATGCATTGTACTTTCTTGGTTGTTATATATACACGATAAGGGGAAGTATTAGAATTGTGTCAAATTTGACCATTTGAGGTTTTCGAAATCTCCACGTTTCGAGAACTCCTGAATCCAAAACGTAGAAAAAAACAGCAAACAATTATCTGGATATGCTTGTATGTTTGTGTGTGCGGGAGAGCGGGTGTATTGGCGTATATTTAGCTTAATATCACAGAATGGGGAAATATAAAAAACGAAACTTTGGAAGATAGCTTGTATATGAGGTGAATTGATTCTGTTAAATTTCCGTGACAAAAGGTCGAGTGGGTGGGGAGAATCAGGGGCCACGAATCTGTAAAAGAATAAGTCCTGATTAATAAAAATTTTATTTGTTACAAACATTTTTACTCTTTTGTAAAACTCAACCCTACCCTTAAAATCAAGCTTTCTGCTATTATATAGTACTTAAAAATATAAAGTTTTTATAACAGAATCTGACAATATATGGTTCAACACAAAATTTTATTTTGTGCTTAATAATATAAACTTTTTTTTAAATAAAAACGCATAACAGCTGGAAAATTACGCCACTCTTGTTGCTACATATTTTTTATCAAGAAAGAATTAACGGCATTCACGAGCACAAGTAGAACAAAGAGAACTCTACCTACAAGTATTATCTACTTGCAAGTAATTCTTTTGTAATTTCTTAGTAAATAAAGTTTTAGATTTTACACGTACTAAAGACTATTGAGCCAACGTTTTACTATTATTATTTATTTTAACTTTATTCATAGAAAATGCAATTAAATTAGTCGTGTTTGTATTAAAGACTTTTATATTACTCGAAATTCTAAGATAGACATTCAGAAATTGGGATACATCACGATATTTGAAATAGTACGATTCGTTCGAAATATCACGAAAATTTTAACTGAATTGACTGAAAACACTTTAAATACATTTCAATATTATAAATAACAATTGTAATACCGAATAGAAAATACCAATGATAAAATATTCGTAATTATAAATTATTTAAATTTCTTAGGAAAATTATTTCGAATAATATTCTTACCGCTTTAAAAGTATTTGGTATTTTATTTGCTACAATAATGTTCTAGATATTTAAATTCCATGAAAATCTAAATACAGTAGAGCCTCGAAAACTCGGTCTAATATGGACCGAAGGGTGGCCAAGTTCGTGAAAATGCCGGGTTATCGGGAATGAGGTTAAAAAAGAAGTATGCGTGTTTCCTCAGGAAATACTGTACTGTTCTTGTATGTATTGTTTGCTTGAGAATACAACAGAGAATAAACTGTCCAAATACCCTTAAACAAAGGAAAAGTACGTCCTTTATGAAGGCATAGAGTCTTTACTACATGAAAATGAAAATTAATGAATACACAGTGTACAGTAATTTACCTGATAAGACAGACCTCAGAAAAATACTTTGTGAGGCATAAAGCTGTCTATTATGAAAATTAATTATCTAAGGATATTTTTGCCCTGCCAGGGTGTGGCCGAGTTATCCGGAGTGCCGGGTTATCGAGAGCCGAGTTTTCGAGGTTCTACTGTATTA